ATACTATGGAATGTTATGCATCAATTAAAAAAAAAAAGACAACTCTCTTAAGCCCCACAAGACATAGACAAAAAGAGAGAACATTATGCTTACCAAATTAGGTTAATCATACAAAGCTAAGATTAGTAACGCCATTGCTACAAGGACAACCCAAAGAAGAGACATGGCGACAAAACTGGAATGACTATGATGAGGCCGGGGACAGAGGTGGGAACGGGGGATGGGCAGGAATGGAGTGGGGGTGGGGGGATGGAAAAGGAGGGTTTAACAGGATATTGTTCTTGATTTCATTTCATGTCTTTCCTTTTTTTTCTCGGTAGCAATATTTTATTTTCTTCAACAGTTTTGTTAGCACGTAGTTTACATACGATATAATTCAATTGTTCAATCCTATCTACTTACTGTTGAAAAAATAATAAAATATAATTTTTGAAAGAAAATCTTTTCAACCTAGATTTGCCAACCTAGAATTTTATAGAGCGCAAAGATACAGTTCAGCATTATAGGCAAGAGTGGGGAAAAGGTATTTTCTTTTTTCACAAGACACTGAGAAATTTGGTCATCTTAGATTTAGTCTATGTGTTTTTATTTTATTTATAAAATAAGTCCCTAAAGTTTAAGGAACAAACAATCTCCATGAATTAATGAAACAGAGAGAGGGAATGAAGCTGTAATACTAAGCATGATGTCTTGTGAACTTTCTCCTGTCAAGTCTACCAGCTACCACGGGGTCACGTCCAACTCATATTGGACAAGGTAGACCTGCCTCTCTAGGTTGCCAAAGCTGTAACTATTTACAGAAGCAGAAAAGCCTCATTTTCTCCTGTAGAGCAGCTGCAGGAAAGCATTGGCACTTTCCATTGAACTTCATTACTACTTCTGTTGAATTCTGCTTTAAATGTCTTCCCTTCCACCATACATTCACATTTCTTGGATAGTACCAGTTGCTCAAATTGACTGAGCATAAAACGACCTGCATTGTTTTTCCAGATCAGACTGATGTTCTAGAAGTTTTCCCAGTGAAAACCCTCTACTTGCTGCATGACAGCTATAGCGCAGTCTAAAGCATATATGATGTTAATAATATGTGTTTATAGAAGACTAGTATGAAACTTAAATGAGTCAATGGAGTCATAAATTGATATTTAAAGAGTTTTGGTCTATTTAACAAATAAATATGTCCTCATTCTCTTGAGTCATCTTATAATGCTCCAGTATTGAGAAGAAAATGGGCAAAGATTTTTTCTACTGTAAGAGAAACAAGAAGATTCACCAGATGACAATGACAGATTCGCAGTTACTTTGTTTCAGATAGGACTGGAGTAGTAGGGACTGTGGAAATATAAGAAAAGCAGCTTATTCTCAGCTTCAGTCAATTTGGGCCTGGTGGCCCATAATTCTCACATTTTCTAAAAGAAATTAAAATTTTATTTTTGAATGTAAAATACTCTATTATAAATGTTACTTTAATTCATTTAAGGCACTGGGTGGGCCCACAAAACCTCTTGGACAACTGAATGTCCTGTGACCAAGTTTTGGGTTAAGAGATTTAGAGTAAACATTAATTATTGTCTTTATTTTGCTCTCTTCTGAATATGTACTTCTAAATCAGGGCTCTGTTTTTGAGCAATGGACTGGTACATTACAAACTACGCAACCTGACACTTGAGCAAGACATTTACTTACATAATTTCTTTTGACATTGTTCTCAGCTCTACTTCTATGTTGGAGTCATATATCTTAAAAAAAAAAAAAGAAAGAAAAGAAGCCCATGTGCTGTAGAGGGTAAATCAGTAAGCTGCTAACAGAGAATATTTCAAATCCACCATTCATTCTGCAAAAGGATCAGAATGACCGTCTATTTCAGTAAGCCTTTACAACTGAAGGTGCCATTTAGCTAGCTCCACTGTTTGGTTCCATTGAGCCAGTTCTGACAGATAGAGACTATTTGTACAATAGAATGAAACATTGTCTAGTCCTACATCATCCTCATGATTGTTGTTTTACTTGATTCCATTGTTGTCGTGCCTCTGTCAATCTATCTAGTGAGGGTCTTTCTCTTGTTCGCTGAACCCCTCTTTTCCAAGCATGTCTTTCTCCAGAGGCTGCTCTTTCTTGAGGATATGCTCAGAGTATGTGAAAGGAAGTCTCCTTACCCTCTCTTGTAGGGAGCATTACGGCCGTACTTTCTCTAAGACATGTTTGTTCTGGCAATCTGTGGTACTTTCAATATTCTTACCCAATATGATAAGTCAAATGCCTCCATTCTTCTTCCTCTTACAACATTCGAAACCCTACAGTCAGAATTGACGGATGGACGTAGGTATCTTTAAAAAAACCTGATGATTACAGAGAATTAATTATTCAAGGAGATAACCCATTGCTCTTTAATTCACTTTTTATACTTTACTAATAAAACTGTAATTTTCTTGTACTTCTCAGTGAGTATAAATACAAATTGCTTTAACATATTTTTAAACATTTACTCCCACAAAGATATATTTTTACTAAGACTTAGAACAAAATCTAGGCTTGCTAAGAATATTAGCTGAACGCTCTTATGAAAGAACTAAGAAAGGATGAACAGGAATTTTCAAAGGGCAGCCTGAGAAGATGAAGTAGAGTATTATAAGGAAGTGTGCAAAGACCTAGAGTTAGAAAGCCAAAAAGGACAAACACACTTAACACATTTCCAGCCGCGAGAATCGATGGGAAATGAAATAAAGCCACAAGTTGCAATGTTGAATGCTTCTATGGGAAAGATGCTGGATGATGCCTGAGGCATCAAGAGAAGATGGAATAGACAGAATCGCTAATAATTGGTGAACGTTCTATGGTTTCAAGAGGTAGCATATGACCAAGAACAATGGTACTGCAGGAAGAAGTCTAAGCTACACTGATGCTATTTCCAAATAAATTTTAAAAACTACAAACTAGGCTCCCCAAATTTTAGACCACCCATGAAATAGTTTCAAATTGATGAAGCATTGGAAGCACCCAACAGTATATGACAAGGCATTTGGAAGACAGTCAACTGAATGGATGAGATCTATATTTATACCCATTTCACAGAGAGGTGCCCCAGCAGAATGAAGGAATCATTGAACAATATGATTATTATCGCCTATGAAAGAACTTTGGCTGAAAATAATTTGGAAACAGTTCCTGCAGGACATCAACAGGGGGCTGGCAGAAATTCAAGCTGAATGCTGAGAAGACAGCCTTGCTGATGTCCGACGGGGCTTGCCTGAATGTAGAAAATAACTGAAAATGCTTGCTTGTGTTTTATTGACTATGCAGAGGCATTTACCTGTGTGAATCACAGCAAACTATGGATGGTATTGAGAAGAATGAGAATTCTAGAACACTCCCAGTGCTCATAAGGAGCCTGTACGTGAAATCTTTGCCTGAACAAAGAGTCAGTGATACAAGCAGTACAAGGGAAGACTGCGTGACTGAAAATCAGGAAAGGTGTGCTTCTGGGTTGGATCATAGTTACTCCATCGGTAAGCTGATCATATTTGCTGAGAAGCTGCATTATATGGAGAACATGGTCTCAGGATGGGAAAGGCATTCATAAATTATCTATGTTAGGCAGATGATACACCTTTTCTGGCTGAAAGCAAAGAAGCCCAGGAGTACTTACAAATCAATGACTGCCATCTTCAGTATGAACTGAAACAATATAAAGAAAATAAAATTTCACACATTTGGGAAAATAGACATAATCATGCTAAAGAGAGAAACGATTGAAATTGTTAAGAATTTAATTTCATAATCAATGCTCATGAAAGCAGCTGTCAAGAAATTAAATGGGCAAATCTGCTGTGCAAGACCTCTTTAGAATGTTGAGCAAGGATGTCAAGGTGAAGCCTAAAGTATGATTGATGTAAGCCACAGTAGTTTCAATGTGCAATCTCCTATGCACGAGAAAAGGCACCCTGGTGGCATTGTTTGGTAAGCATTGCATTGCCAGCAGCAAGGTCTGTGGTTCCAACCCACCAGATGATTCTATCTGCTTCCATAAGATTTATAACCTCAGAAATTCCACAGGAGTCAGAATCAAATCAATGTCAGTGGGTTTGGGCAAAGTGAAAGTTGGACAAAGAATAAGAAAGGCCACAGTAGAATTGATGCATACATATTATGGTGTTGGCTAAGAATATTAAAATACCATGGATGCCAGAACAAAGTGTTCTGGCTCAGAGTAGTGCAGCCAGAGTTTTCCTTAGAAGTGAGAATGGGAAGGCTTAATCTCACAAACTATGGACATGTAATTCTGAGGATAAGTCCCCCGAGAAGGGCATCGTGCGTCTTAAACCAGAGGAAACAGTGACCATGACAATGGACCCAAACAGAACAGTCATGAGGATGGAGCCAGACTGGGCAGGGCTTCACAATGTTGTACTTAGGGCTACTATTAGTTGGAACTGAGTCAATGGTACCTAACAACAAGAATTATTATTATTATTATTATTTTAAAGATCATTTTACAGCTCTTATAACAATCCATACATCAATTGTATCAACCATATTTGTACATAGGTTGCCATAATTATTTACTTCTATTTGAGCCCTTGGTATCGGCTCCCCCCCACCCACGACCCCTTGATAAATTATAAATTATTATTATTTTCATATCTGACACTGACCGCTGTCTCTTTTCCCCCACGGTTTCTGTTGTGCCTCCCCCTCCTAGGGTGTATGTGTGGTTATGTGTCAATCATTGTGATCGGTCCCCCCTCTTCTCCCCACTTTCCCCCTACCCTTCTGGTATTGCTACTCCCATTTCTGTTCCTGAGAGGTTTATCTGACCTGGATTCCGAGTATTGTGAGCTATTACTGTACCAGTGTATGTGTTCTGGTCTAGCCCCAGTGGAAGCCAGGAATGGGGTCATGATAGTGGGGGCTGAGGAAGTCTCAAGGAACCAAAGGAATATTATTGTGTGTGTTTCATCAGAGCTATAGTGCACCCTGGTTGAAGAAGTCTTTTATTATTTAGAAGTTTTTATATTAAATAATATTTTTATGTCATCCTTGCGCAGGGGCCATGCTAATCTTCTCTGTATCATTCCAATTTTAGTATATGTGCTGCGAAGCGAGCACAAATATTTTTAATAAAAAGGATTGCATGAGTCATTTGAATACCCCATATTCTGGGAGAGTAAATGCTAGACAGGGGTGTATTTATTTGCATTCCCTTTAATTCTTCAACTCTAGCATCCTGTATATTTTCAACTACTAAAAACAATCCTCTTTAAAATTTTTAGGTCTCAGAAGATAGTAGTCTTAGTGATTTCAGATTTTGTACCTTTTTGAATCTCCATATAAAAATATTGAAGGTAGCTAGATAGCACAATAGAAAACACAAGACAACATTTATATTCTCACGGTGGTAGTTGTTGTTGGGTGCCATCCAGTCAGTTCCAAACTATAGGGACCCTGTGTGCCACAGAAGGAAACACTGCAAGTCCTGCACCATCCACACCACTGTTCCTGTGCCCGAGCCCATTGTTGTCAGTCTCTTTGAGAATCCTCCTCTTTGTCACTGCCCATCCACTTTACCAAGCATGATGTCCTTTCTCCAAGGCCTGGTCTCTCTTGACAATATGTCCAAAGTATGTAAGATGAAGCCTAGGCATAGCGCTTCTCAACCTGTGGGTCGCAACCCCTTTGGGGGTCGAACAACCCTTTTACAGCGGAGCTCAATTCATAACAGTAGGAAAAGTACAGTTATGAAGTAGCAACGAAAATAATTTTATGGTTGGGGGTCACCACAACGTGAGGGATTGTATTAAAGGGTTGTGGCCTGAGGAAGGTTGAGAACCACTGCTCTGAGGAATACACTGGCCATACTTCTTCCAACAGAGATCAGTTTGTCCTTTTAGCAGTCCATGGTACGTTCGATATTCTTCTCCAGCTCCACAATTCAAATGCATCGATTCTTCTACTGTCTTCCTTATTCAGTGTCCACCTTCCACATACATATGATTTCATAGAGCATACCATGGCATGGGTAAGACACACCATAGTCCTCAACGTAACTTGCTCTTCAATGCTTTAAAGAGATCTTGTTCAGCAGATATACAGAATGCAATGCATCTTTTGATTGTCTGACTGATGCTTCCATGGGCATTTATTGTGGATCCAAATAAGACAAAATCCTTGACATCAACCTGTTCTCTGTTTCTCATGATGTTATTGACGGGTCCAGGTCTGAGGATGTGGGCCTTCCTTACATTGAGCTGCCATCCATACTGAAGGCTACAACCCTGGATCTTCTTCAGCAAGGGCTCCATTGCTCCTCCCTTTCAGCAAGCGAGGTTGTGTCATCTGCATACAGAAGGTGGTTCATAAGCCTCACATAATCCCGTCTTTATCTAATCCAGCTTCTCTGATTATTTGCTCTGCATATAGATTGAATAAGTATGGTGCGAGGATACAACCCTGACACAAACCTTTCCTGATTTTAAACCAGGTTGTATTCTTTGGTTTTGAAAATGATCATTTTGTAATTCCCAAGGGGTTAGCAAGGAGTCTTGGTGGTGCTGTGGTTAACCTCTAGAAGCGTTGCAAAACTCCTATTGTTCTCAAGTGTATCCACCGTTTATTATCCATAACACAACGAGGTGTCCAAATAGCTAATGAAATCCAACACAGAGGTGAGTAGAAATAAATCACCTATGGCTTCTATACAGAGAACACAGGAGGGACCAACAAACGTTCTGATGTACTGGAAAAACACAAAGTACTTAATAGGTATTTACTATTCAACACTTAGGTCCAATTCAAGAAGGTGACCAAAATGTGGTTTCCCCTCACTCTCTCCCCCATTTCTCATATATATGAGTTGAAAGTCTTCCGAGAAAAGATTGGAACAGTCTAGTCTCTGTGAACTCCTGAAACGGAGAAGTCACCATGTATCTTGAGGACAAGAACCCTCATTTAGAAGCAGGTGGTTTGGTAGGTGTACACTCTGTATAGCTGCACAAGACCATGTGCTTAGTTTAATGCTTTGCTCTCTTGGTCTTGAAATTCTTAATGCGTTTTTTAAACTTTTTTTTTTTTTGCATTCACATAGTCTTGAAAATTACATAGCTGGATTTCTGAGGGGAAAAATAAATACTCTAATTAGAATCAAACTGAGCAGCACAGAAATCCCAGAGAGGAGCAAAGTTGTGGGGAATGGGAAAGTGTTAGAAACTTCTAATGCATGCCACAGTAGTTTTTTCAAATAGTACATAAAAGCAATAGATGCATGAACCTACATTAGAAAAAATTTTCCATAACCAACTTGCTTATTAAATTTCAAGAAATGAAATTAATACAAAATGAGCATGGTGATAGTCTTAAAACTCAGCTCCCATACATACGTTTACGCTTACAAATGCCATATTCCATGAGTAAAGAGAATAGAAGTAGAATAATTTCATAACAAATAATAAAAACATTTCAAATCTAAAAATATATTAAAATTTTTAATATAAGTAAACAGTCTCAGGGTTGCAACAGAGCTCCAATTCAATGTGTTCTTAAATCACATTTATAGACAATCAGGAAAGGGTACATATAGTTCATATATTCTTAGATAGCCTTACTGTAGTGCAAGTATGAGAGAAAGATAAAGATGTGGAGTCTCAGAAACCCAACTCTGTTTTAAGTTATATATGTATACACAAAAACTTAAGTTATGTATCTTTGTGTATCTATATAGATACACACAGATATGGTGTTAGTCTGGGTTGACTAGAGAAACAAATTCATAGATACTTGTATGTGTGCAAGAGAGAACTTTATATAAGGAGTAATTGTATATTACACCACCATGGCTCATTATGAAAAGCAAAGCAAACGATTTTGAATATGATAATTTTGTAAGGCCCAAGGGGTTAGGAAGGAGTCTTGGTGTGGTGCTCTAGACTGCTAACAGAAGGGCCTGTGGTTAGACGCCCCCAGCTTCCATGAAGATTCACAACATTGGAAACCCTGGGGGCAGGTCTGCTCTGTTCTGTAGAGTCACTACAGGACTCGAAGGAATTGGATTTGGCTTGGTTTTAAGAAATGAGTGGATTTAGGCTTCAAAGGAGAAGGAAAAGCAAACGTGGTGTTCTCCATGTTTTCAAGACTGTAGACTGTCCAAAGGAGGAGAATCAGCGTGTCCCCGATTGTCTGCTTCTGGCTCCCCGGGAACCGAAAACTCAGAGTTCGGAGGAGCCCGCTGAAGGGCACCGTGGAAAGTCATGGAATCACGTGGCCTGTTCCTCCCCAGATGAAAGCACATGTTAGGTACATTGAAAAGACTCAGCCAAACCTTCTTAGGAGGCATACTAAGGCGATCACACCACAAAGAAAACCAGGGCATGCTTCCTGTCAAAGCCAGCCTAGGCTGTGTCTGGCTGGGCAGAAAGCGTTGTGACTTGAATGGTACACATCACGGGGCTTCTAAAGTGGCCACATATCATTTCATGAGCTATCGGTATAAATTTTATAAAATCAGAGGAAAATAACTGTTACTCTGCTACTGTTAGTCAAATTATGAAACAAAAAAAGGGAGAGGATCACTTTGTAATTGCCATGATTTTAAAAACATCTATGTGATTATTAACAAGATGAATAACACATTCGTTTTCAACATAAAACAATTTCCTCAAAGTAAACAGTTATCCCAAGTCAGATATTTTCAGTGAAAATGCTAGCAGGAGGTTCCCAGTTACAATCCTTTTTTCTCTTTATTCTCCTTTTTTACCATAATAATGAGCACTTGGAAGGCACTTGAAACTTACAATAGATCACATCTGAAGGAATATCTTTCAAGAAGATATAAGGCAGCGATGATATTTTAGAGGAAGTTCTAGCATGCTTAGCAGCCCTCTAATCATTCTCAGCATAGAACTAGTTACTTGGCCGGCCTCTGTTTAGAGGAGGAGCTTGCCTCCACTTGGACAAAGGACCAAGCCTGGTAAAGAACAGCAAGGGGGAGCGGAGCAGGCACAACTGTGAGCCCTCTATGCTGTCTTTAATACTGCCAGGGAGCACACAAAGGTTTCCAAGCCGAACTGGCTCCTATTTTAAAAATCATGTCTTCTGTGATTTATACATCTTTCCGATGTATATAAAATTTTTTTTTTGGTGGACACACAAGGCAGGGAAATGACAGTAGTACATTCATTTCAATTTCTTTACGACATGATGCAGTTTCTATAATTACTGAGCTCTGTCTGATGATTTGAGGGATTCAGTGAAGCAGGTGATGATTGCATAAGAAAATGTTGATTACGTGTACTGCAAGAGGGCCCTTATCGAGTGTTAATTTCTCTCTGGAAGCCATATTAAGACAAATAAAACCCTGTCACTGAAGTCATATAAGTTTTCTTTTTTCTGTGTGAAATCTCCCTGTGGGGAATTTAAAATTTTACTGCTTAATGATACTTGTAAAGAAGATATTCTCCATAAACTTAGGTTCATAATTATTGCACACAGCCCCATGGCCATCCGTTGACTCTAACTCCTAGTCACCCTGTCGGGCAGATGCAACCCTCCACAGTATGTCTGCGATGACAACTCTCAGTAGGAAGACTGCCTCCTCTTTCGCCCTGGGAGCAGCTGGTGGTTTCAAACTGCTGAGTTGGTAATGATCAGCCCAGGGCTCAACTCAGGGTAGCCCCAGGTATTTGATTATTCACAGAGTAGTGAAATTGTGCTGAATCGAGGGATAGCAGAGCTTGGTTAAGTTTCTTATTCTGTTCATTACACACCATGTGACAATGAGCATCTCAATGAAGTTTTCTGAATCTCAAGTAATTTTCTACAAAAGAGAGGATTGTCCTCTGTAGATCCTAAAATCTTTGCCAATATCAGCATGATTGAGTTACTCATTATTGGCCTGTTTTCTATTGTTTTGGTGGACAGATTAATTCAATAAAGATGGCATATGGAAAAAAATAACATGCATCGTAAATGATTATTAAATTTCTCTTCCATGTAACAAATTACTCCAAAACCTAGCAGATGATAGAAAAAACATCAATTGTATAGTTTCTGAAGGTCAAGAATCTGGAAGTGACTTAGCTGACTGGCTCTGACGCAGAGAAGTGCTAGGCTATCAC